CTAGGAACACACGTGTGTGTGTGTGTGTGTGTGTGTGTGTGTGTTAAAAACACACAAAGTGCTATCCATCTTGGAATTTTAAAATCACTTTGAAAGCTAGCTAGTGTTTCATTTTTGTCATTGCTTTTCTACTTTAAATTACAGAATGTAAACCTCACCCAATGTCACTCAGGATGGCTGTTAATTCAATGTGTGCGTACATATAAGCACACACACATATGTACATGTATGTACATATATGGCCTCATGCATGTATATACACACATATCTATCTATCTATCTCTATCTATCTGTCTGTCTGTCTATCTGTCTGTCTGTCTGTCTACCTATCTATCTATCTCCTTTCTCCTGAGGTGTGTTCCAGGAGCCTTGCAGGATGTCTTTATTTAGATTGCTGAGATTTTAATACTCCGTTCACTTCCACTCCCATTGTGCCAGCAGGAAAGCACAAACACCATTACCTCCGCTTAATGAGATGGGAGAACTCGGGCACGAGTGCTCACGCCGGGCAAGTCAGAGCCGCAGATCAGCAGCAGGGCTGAGGTGGTGTGAGAGGGACTCAGGCGGGAGTGGCCGTGCTCAGCCACCTCTCGCTCCCTGGGTAAAGCTGCCCACAGGTGGGTGTACCCCACCCCCGGAAGCCCGGCCTGGATGCAGCTGCATTTTCACCCTGGCTTAATGTGAAGAACCTGGCTGTTCCCTTCCTCTGCCTCACACCTGAAAACCAGCAAATGTCGGTCTCCTAACATCTCTCAAAAGGCAGATGACTCCTGCTCCGTCTGTAATGTCAGAACGGTCACCTAACACAGGTTTCCTCTGTACCGATCATACACCGAAACAATCCAACATCTCTTAGTAAAAACATCCTTTCTGTGCCTCTGACTTGAGTCTTTTTCCAGGCACTGCTGAGTCCCAGGAAAGGCCTCTGCGATTTGTGAAAGACGACGCCTTTGCCCAGAGTCCGCACGTCACTGTTGTGAGGCTGGTGGGTGTTCTGTTCACTTATGCCAGCTTTCAGGTTCCCCCTTTTCCTTTTTCTACCTAAAAAAAAAAAATAATACACACCCCCCCACACACACACACACACAAGAGAAGACCGCTGTGCCTGCCCTTTCCCTCAGGAGCCAGGTGAGTCCCTGGGCATCTGGGGCAGGTTGCAAGGTCCAGCATCTCCCCGAGACGAGGCCGAGCTGGGGGTGCCCACCCCCAGAGAGAGCCCAGCACAGTGGCTCATGCAGCTGCCTGTGTTTCAGTTCTTACAGCGTCTTGATTTTGACCTGATTAGTCAAAAGAGAGAAAGAGATAAAATATTCAGAGTTTTCAAGCTACTGGGGAATAAGCACTTTTGGTACAGAAAAAGAAAAAAGCCTAGCGTTTTAGATAAACAGCACAGTAGTGCACATACTTAGAATCTTAAGATCAAAGATGTTTTGTTACTTTAGAAACAAACCAAAAAATGTATTAAGCATAATTAAATTTGCTCGTAAAGATCATTTCTGATTTGTTTAATTAATTAATTTATTTTACTGTGACTCGCTCATTTATTCCAAGAATGCTTTTTTAAAATTTAATTTTTTTCCCCGTGTTTACACTTCACACTAATGGAACAAAATACCTGCCAACTCAAATCTTCTGTTTTCTTTTAAAATGAAAAGTTTGAAAGAAAAACCCAGGACAAAAAACCCCCCCAAATCCTGCATTTCTTCTGTCTCTGGACCACTGTCTCTCATATTTTTGACAAAACAGAGCGGCTCCCTGCACCCTGCTCTTCCAGATGTCCCTCCCCTGGGTTCTCGTGTCCTCGGCTTTCACACCGCTGATCAGCTTCTACCCTTGTTTTTTCAAGGTTTTTTTGGTTTTATTTTCAAAAGTTTTTTTTGACAGAGTTTGGTAGCCTTCAGGTATTTTAGTGCCAGAAGCAAGCCAAAGAGAGGTCGAATCCTAAAAAGAAAACTTTTCAGCGTGTGAGAGCCAGCGACCCGGCCTCTGCTCAGGCCCCGCTCGAGCCG